AAAAAATGCAAGTAGAAAAAATAGGGACCACCTTTGGTGGGAAGGTAACAACGTTCCGTGCGCCTTTGGCGTTTAGTCAAGCCGGCCATATGACCAAGGAGACGTCTTTGGACAGCGCTGGCTCTTCGGCTTTGAAACGGAGATGAGCACCGCCCCCTAGAGCTGGGAACGACTAGCACATATGTACGAGGGGAACCTTTGCCTTTATTCAATGTAGGTACCGCCGGACTCCAAACTGATTCTGGGCAATGTATAATAAAACCGAAGTGTCCTATGTTTTTGGTTTGATATGCTCCTGTCTATCCCTTTGGATGTGAAGTAAACCTGAGAAAAGTTTTGTGGGATTTTGTATGGGAGAATAGAGGAAAGAGAACCCTCTTTAACCCTGAAAGTAATGATATTCATGCTTGAAAACATCTGTGGGTTGTAGGAAGCAAGCAAACCAATGAATTCAATCGAACAGAATAGAGCGGGAAGGGACCTTGGAGGCCTTCTAGTCTAACCTCCTGCTAAAGCAGAAAACTCTATACCATTTCAGACAAGTGGCTGTCCAGTCTCTTCTTAAAAGCCTCCAGTGATGAAGCACCCACACCTTCTGAAGGCAAACTGATTAATTGTTCTCACTGTTAGAACATGTCTCCTTAATTCCAGGTTCCTTCTCTCCTTGATTCGTTTCAGTGGTGAAATCCAATTTTTTTTACTACCGGTTCTGTGGCTTGGTGGGCGTGGCTTGGTGGGCGTGGCAGGGGAAGGATACTGCAAAATCCCCATTCCCTCCCCATTCGGGGGCCAGCCAGAGGTGGTATTTGCCGGTTCTCCAAACTACTCAAAATTTCCGCTACCAGTTCTCCAGAACCTGTCAGAACCTGCTGGATTTCACCCCTGATTCGTTTCCATCCATTGTTTCTTGTCTCGCCTTCTTATTGGAAAATAAGTTGAACTTCCCCCTTTCTTTGTGGCAGCCCTCAAATACTGGAGTACTGCTATCATGTCACCCCTAGTCCTTCTCTTCTCTAGACTAGCCATACCCAATTCTTGCAACCGATCTTCAAACCATTTTTCAATAATACGGAGAAGGTGTGAAAGTCTAAGATTTTATATTGCAAGCTGAGGGCGGGGGGAGAATAAAGCTTTAGGGATTTCTTTTTTATTAATCAAATGACAACTTCCCAGGCTCACAAAGAGCAGGACGACGTTGCAATCTTTACCAAGCTTTCCCAGTTTCAAATTACTATCCGTGCAGCACGCTATCTTCCTTAAAGCATCAACCATCTTAAATAAAGACAGTTCTCAAACATTGCTTATCTTTAAGGCCATCACTCATTAGAGGATCTGTGCAGGGTGAAATAGAGGGTAATTGTTCTCTTTCTCTCTCTCTCTCTTTTTTTGTATCAGAAACAGTTAATGGCTGCTGAAGCCACTCTCTTCCGTTGTAGGCATGTATTAAGGCCCTTGAAGTGATGTCCCAGTGCCTGGAGGCCATGCAGATCTGGATGGGGAGGAACAGGCTCAAGCTTAACCCTTCCAAGACTGAGTGGCTGTGGCTCCCGGCATCCCGATATAGTCAGTTGACTCCATCACTGACTATTGGGGGCGAGTCTTTGGCCCCCATAGAAAGGGCTCGCAATCTGGGAGTCCTCCTGGATAGGCAGCTGTCCTTGGAGGAACATCTGACAGCTGTAACTAGGGGGACCTTTTGTCAGGTTCGCCTGATTCGCCAGTTGCGGCCCTTTCTTGATCGGGATTCCCTGTGCACAGTCACTCATGCCCTCGTCACCTCTCGCCTTGACTACTGCAACGCTCTCTACATGGGGCTCCCCTTGAAGAGCACCCAGAGGCTCCAACTGGTCCAGAATGCAGCAGCGCGAGTAGTGATGGGAGCAGCATGGCGCTCCCTTGTAACATCGCTCCTGCGCGAGCTGCACTGGCTCCCAGTGGTCTTCCGGGTGCGCTTCAAGGTGTTGGTTATCACCTTTAAAGCGCTCCATGGCATCGGGCCTAGCTACTTCGAGACCGCCTGCTGCTACCGACGACCTCCCATCGTCCCGTGCGCTCCCACAGAGAGGGCCTCCTCAGGGTGCCATCAGCCAATCAATGTAGGCTGGTGACTCCCAGGGGGAGGGCCTTCTCTGTGGGGGCACCTACCCTCTGGAATCAGTTGCCCCCAGAGATAAGGAGAATCCAAGACCTCAGTGCCTTCCACCGTGCCCTTAAAACCCACTTTTTCCAGCAAGCCGGGCTGGCTTAAAAAGAAATTTTAAATGTTTTAATTGGTTTGTATTTTTAATTTTGGGCCAAATTTATATATATTTTAATTGTTTTTAATATTTGTATTTCATGTTTTTTAATTCTGGCTGTACACCGCCCTGAGTCCTCAGGGAGAAGGGCAGTATATAAATTTAAAAATAAATAAATAAATAAATAAAGGCAATGAAATTAAAGGACATGATGCCACTGCCTCTTGTTGAATGGAGGCCATGGTGGGAAAGTGTAGCAATGAAGGCAGGGGTAAAACAGAGGAGGCGATGGCGTACAGCTTAACTTGCAATGACATCATATTCCTGAAACAGATGCAAGTTTATTACAGGCCTCACTACCAGCCGTCGATGATCAATGGCTGGTGGGTTTTCCTATTCCGCTTGAAAGTTTAACACAACTCGAGGCCTGTGGGCCGGATCCAGCCTGCGGGGTGCTTAGATCTGGCCCGCAGGGCTGCCCTGAAAACACAGAAAGACTGGGTCACTGTGCCTCTGCCAGCGAAAATGGAGCTTAGGAGGGCCGCACGCAGCCCTCCCAGGCTCCATTTTCAGCTGCAACGGCCTCCTGCAGCCCTCTGCCAATAAAAATGGAGCTCGGGGAGGCTGTGCGTGGCCTGCCCAGGCTCCGTTTTCAGCCACGATGGTCTCATTGCAGCCCTCTGCCAGCAAAAACTGAGCACTTTTTTGTCACTCTTTGGATATATTCTTTACTAAGCACATTTTTAACTTCTCCGTGTCTGATGTTATCCAACTGTATAATGTCCAGATACTTGTAGGCTTCATCCTCGTGGTTTGGCCGTTCAGCATCTCAATTCCATTACCAGGATTTTACACAAATTAATTGCTTTTCTAGCACATTTCTCTAGGCCAAATTCCATTACTATAACTGTGCTGAAAATTATTACCATACTTGTCGATGACCGGATTTCAATTTCTGGTTTTCCATAAACCTTCGGTTCATACATATAAAGCAAATGTGAGATTTTAGTAGCATTTTTTTTTTTGCTGTTTGATAGCCAAGGTTTGGCTATAATAATATAATAATTAATACCATTGTTATTAATAATAGCCATAGCAATAGCACTTAGACTTATATACCGCTACATAGTGCTTTACAGCCCTCTCTAAGCAGTTTACAGAGTCAGCCTATTGCCCCCAACAATCTGGGTCCTCATTTTACCCACCTCGGAAGGATGGAAGGCTGAGTCAACTTTGAGCTTGGTGAGATTCGAACTGCCAAATTGCAGGCAGCCGGCAGTCATCAGAAATAGCCTGCAGTACTGCATTCTAACCACCGCGCCACCATGGCTCATAACAATTATTATAAAATAATACTATTATTATTACCATTATTATATTGAAACTCAGACTAGGAGTATGATATCAAAAGTCTCTTTGTTGATTGTCTAGCAAATAGTATTATCACATTTAACCAGTGGTGGGTTTCAAAAAATTTTACTACCAGTTCTGTGGGTGTGGCTTGGTAGGCATGGCATGGCTTGGTGGATGTAGCACGGTGGGCATGTCAGGGGAAGGATACTGTAAAATCTCTATTCCCTCCTCAATCCAGGGGAAGGTTACTGCAAAATCCCCATTTCCTCCCAATCAGCTGGGACTCGGGAGGCAGAGAATAGATGGGGGCAGGGCCAGTCAGAGGTGATATTTACCGGTTCTCCGAACTACTCAAAATTTCCGCTACCAGAACTGGTCAGAACCTGCTGAAACCCACCTCTGCATTTAATCCAGTGATGTGATTAGCTAAATACACATAATTAAGAAGATTTGAATCTTAATCATGTAAGAAAATGATTACATGATAAAATGATGTAAAAAAAAAAAGGCCAATAACCTTTTTTCATTAGCTGTAAACTATGCGTGCAACTTTTGTAGTACTGTGCATGCAAACAACCTAACCTAAAAATGATGCACATAAGAACCAGAAGAAGATAAATAGTTGCACGCAAAGCTCAAATGTGTCATACCCATTGTGTACAATAGTTGTACACAAAGCTCAGATGTAATGCAGTTACACAAACGTATCATAAACAAAAGCCTGTGTTTATCATATGTTGATCTTTAGAGAGAATATTGCTGTAGACCAGAGGTGGGTTTCAGCAGGTTCTGACCAATTCTGGAGAACCGGTAGCAGAAATTTTGAGTAGTTCGGAGAACCGATACTATAAATTCTGACTGGCCATGCCCCCATCTATTTTCTGCCTCCCAAGTCCCAGCTGATCGGAAGGAAATGGGGATTTTGCAGTAATCTTCCCCTGGATTGGGGAGGGAATGGAGATTTTACAGTATCCTTCCCCTGGAGTGTGGTGGGAATGGAGATTTTACAGTATCCTTCCTCTGCCACACCCACCAAGCCATGCCCACCAAGCCATGCCATGCCCACAGAACCAGTAGTAAAAAAAATTTGAAACCCACCACTGCTGTAGACCTCAGCAGAGGTCTCATTTCACTCTGATAATGCATGAGTGTGTATTCCTCCATTTTTCATAGATGGTGATTCATTTAAACCAGAGGTCCTCAAACTTGGCAGCTTTAAGACTTGTGGACTTCAACTCCCAGAATTCTCCAGCCAGCTGGCTGGAGAATTCTGGGGAGTTGAAGTCCACAAGTCTTAAAGCTGCCAAGTTTGGGGACCCCTGATTGGTAATTGATATGGTAATTCTTCCAGTTCTTGGTTCCTCCAACTCCATAATAATTCACTTTTTTTTTGGATGTCTTTGTTTCCAGGGCTCCTTGTAAGAGAAGTCCAGATCGAAGTCTCTCGCCAGCAAGTGGAGGAGCTGTTTGGCCTAGAAGATTACTGGTGTCAGTGTGTGGCCTGGAGTTCCGCTGGAACCACCAAAAGTCGCCGAGCCTACGTTCGAATAGCATGTAGGTTTGGGGAAATTCTTTTTCGTTCCTTCTTTCTTTTTGAAGATCTTTTCACATTAGGACTTCGCTGGCAGGTGTTTAGTGCACTTGCATACCCTGCAGAAAAAGGGGAATATCACGAATGGCTACATTAAAATAATTCACTTGCTCAAACGTTTTATAGACTATTAGCTAATGAAAGGCTTGTGTGCATCCAAGAGAGAAGTTGTTATATTGAGATATCCTTTACTGGAAGAAGAAATTTATTGGTGCTTTTTTTTTTTGGTTTATTGAGAAGGAGCAATCATGTTAAAAAAAGAAATCTGCTCATAGAATCTGCTCCGGGTGCGCTTCAAAGTTCTGGTTACCACCTTTAAAGCGCTCCATGGCTTGGGACCTGGTTACTTACGGGACCGCCTACTACCATCAACAGCCTCCCACTGACCAGTACGCTCCCACAGAGAGGGGCTCCTCCAGGTGCCGTCGGCCAAACAATGTCGGCTGTCGGCCCCTAGGGGGAGAGCCTTCTCTGTGGGGCACCGACGATCTGGAATGAGCTCCCCCCAGAGATACGGAGGATCCCGGATCTGCGCACCTTCCGCCGCGAGTTGAAGACGCTTTTATTTCATCAAGCTGGCCTCGCCTAAATCTTCTCCCTTTTAAGTGTAAATTTTAAATTATTAATGTATTTTAAAATATGGGTATCTTAAATTATGGGTATTAATTCAGCCAAATTTATTTAATTCATTTTATTCGATTTTAAATTTTGTATATCTATGTGTTTTATTTCATGGCTGTGCACCGCCCTGAGTCCTTCGGGAGTAGGGCGGTATAGAAATTCAATAATAAATAAATAAATAGAAGAAAATAAAGCTGATTTTGGAATAAAACTGTGATCCACAGAGGATGGATAAGTATCCTTGGTCCTGCTGCAGCTTTTTCTCCATTATTATATGCTGTTCCTACAGAGGAGTGGTGTGGTGGCCTAGAGGTGGAGCTTTCACCTCACAATCAGGAGGCTGTGAGTTCGATCCTAGGTAGAGGCAGATGTTTCTCTCTCTGGGCACACTGAGAATATATCTGCTGAACTAAAATTCTGCATTGGCGACAGGAAAGGCATCTGACCATTAAAATACTCCGCTAGCTCCGTTCAGTTGCCCAGACTCCACTCCGCAAGGGATTATGGGTTGTGAAATGAAGATGATGATATGCTATTCCCACAGAAGTGTTCCAAGATGGTCACTGCCGAGGCAAAAGCTTGCCTTTAGTAATCCTTGTTCTTCATCTTCTCCAACTGTAGTTGTCTCTGACTTACCGTATTTTTCGGAGTATAAGACGCACCTTTTTCCCTCCAAAAGAGGCTGAAAATTTGCCTGCGTGATTATTCGGGTGAAAATTATACTCCGAATGTAGCTTTTCTGAAGCTTTTTTTCAGCCCTAACGAGTGTTAACGAGGCGCTAGCGAGTGAAGCGATCTCTGCTCCCTCGACTCTCCACTGTGCTTTAACAAGGGACTAGCCAGTGAAGCGATCTCCATGCTTTGCTCTGACTCTCAGCTGTTCTTTAGAAGCTTTTTTTTTCAGCCCTAACTAGGCGCTAGCCGAGTGAAGCGATCTCCCCGTGCTTTGCCTGCTTTTCTCATTGCTGCTTCCTCTCAGCTGTGCCTTAGAAGCTGTTTTTTATCCCTAAGCAGGGGATAAAAAACCAGCAAACTAATGTGTTGAAGCTGACCAGACTAAGGACGCTAGCCAGATGAATACCTGATGGGCAGATTTTTTTTTTTTCCTATTTTCCTCCCCAAAACTAAGCTGCGTTTTATACTCCGGTGCGTCTTATACTCCGAAAAATACGGTATGTGTTTCTGGTCACCTCCAGAGTTTCTGATTTCTAAACAATTTCCATCAGAGATATGGCAGCCAAATTATGTTCCTTCGGGGGGATTTCTCTGGCTGTCCAAGTTGCCCATCAGTTTCCCCCTGATTTTCCAGGATAGCACTTTTCTATCCTTGAGCTTGTCCAGTCCACATCTTCTTCTCTGACTTCTGGACTTTCTGGAGCTGGGTCACATTCTAGACGTATATACTGCAGATGGACCCTGGCCAGGTAGATGAAGTCATTTTGTGTCTCTCTGCAAGAGTAGGAGGCGCTAGAACAATATTTCTATTTTTGGCAGCCACACAGTACAGAAAACAGCAGAACGCCATGGAAAATCCCTCTTTAACTTTTTAAGGAAGCCTGATTTTTAACAGAATATAATCTGAAATCCCTTATTTTGGGATCGTAGGTCAACAGAGAGAGCATTTTCCTCCCTGGGGGGGTCTTCAGACTAAATTTTATCGTTGTCCTGGATTCTAAATTGTTATTAATGTCTTGTTCAGTAGTGTAGCTGAGATAGGAATGAGGATACTGTTTATGTCTGCTTACCAGCTGGCACACAAACATGTGACTTGCTTTCTTTTTAGCTGAGATCGCTTATAATCACACAAGCGAGGTACTAGAATTCTTGCAGTTTGGTTATTGAAATAGCTCTGGAGCAGGAATCAGTTTTCACAGTCCCTGATTGACATATTCAGCTTTTCTTGGGTTCATTATTTACAGGAGTGAGAGGTTAAGATCCAAAGGCATAGCATCTTAGTTATATTTCTCCTTTTGGCTTTCTTTAACCCGCAATAACCCAGTTTCATTCACCTTAAATTTACTCTGAAGCAGTGGTGAAATCCAAATTTTTTTACTACTGATTCTGTGGGCGTGGCAGGGGAAGGATACTGCAAAATCTCCATTCCCACCCCACTCCAGGGGAAGGATACTGCAAAATCTCCATTCCCACCCCACTCCAGGGGAAGGATATTGCAAAGTCTTCATTCCCACCCCACTCTGGGGCCAGCCAGAGGTGGTATTTGCCGATTCTCCGAACTGCTCAAAATTTCCGCTACTGGTTCTCCAGAACCTGCTGGATTTCTCCTCTGCTCTGAAGGGTATTTAGACATCATGGCTGCAACTGGGGGAGTTGCAATCCCAAATATCTAGAGAGATACCAGGTTACATTGCTCACACCGGCTGAGATCACATGGAACCTGGTAAATGGGATTAAGCCAGTTTCTGAGTTTGCACAACGCATTTAACCATTAACTGTGTTTTGAGTCTGTCATGTTCACCAAGCTAAGGTTAAAAATGAGCTGAGTATGTTATGTGAACATAGCTGCTCAGACATTAAACATTTTAGATGATTGCCGCACTTTATGTTAAGCCATGATTTGCTTGACTTATAAAAGCCTGTCATATCCTTTGCATGCTTGCAATGCAAGCGGCAATAGCTGTGCGAAAACGATTTAATTACTGACCTCCCAAGAGGCCGATGGTACTGTGATATCTCTAATCATTGTAGAACCCATTTCATGAAGTTAGGTTACAAATTATCATCAGTGTATTCATCATAATCATCCTCCCAAAATAATTGTTTGGGAAAGCATATATATTTTAGGACCTTAATTTAGTCAAAATGCTTAGGAGGAATTTAAAAGATCTTAGCGCCACCTACTGATTCATTCTTTACACCTATCTTTTCTTATGGGTTGTCTTACTCACGTTCTTCATTAAAAAGATGTCCGGGCTTGTAGAAACTATAGGTGTTTCAGAGAATCTTAAAAACCCTCAATTGGAAGCTACCATCATGCTTGACACTTAAAATCCTGCATTCGGTAATTTGTTTTCAGTATCAGAACTGAACAGAAATGGTAGTCCTTTCATAAAAAAATGTGCTTCCTGAATATTCTCCGAACTTTTTCGTGAGATATTTTAGTTTTGGGTCACAAAAGGAATTCTCTTTGCTGCTGGTTTTGCTAAATGACCGTGGTGGCGCAGTGGTTAGAGTGCAGAACTGCAGGCTCCTTCTGCTGACTGCCGGCTGACTGCAATTTGACAGTTCAAATCTCACCAGGCTCAAGGTTGACTCAGCCTTCCATCCTTCCGAGGTGGGTAAAATGAGGACCCAGATTGTTGGGGGCAATAGGCTGACTCTGTAAACCGCTTAGACAGGGCTGTAAAGCGCTGTAAAGCAGTATATAAGTCTAAGTGCTATTGCTATCCTGCAATTTCTTGCAAAACACCAAAGGAACAGTTGTTTTGCCAAGGAGCACCATTGAAAAGGACAAAAACATCAAGGGGAGAATCTTCCAAAGGCCTATTTTCTTTCAGTAGTTATTCTTTTAGTTTCTGTTGAGCTGCATATCTGCTGTGCTTTGAAAGATATTCCATTTTAGTATTTCAAATAATGGGATGTTCTTCAAAATATGAGGAAACAAATCCATCTTTTGCTGTCTCTCTGTCTTTCATACCTTTAGATGGAAATGACACAAACTTTTTGGGTCAAACTTCTAAGAGGTCTGACATTTGAGGCTTTTCAGGCGTTAGGAAAAATAATAGGACATGCAAACTTGGCCTCTTTAGGCTTAAGATACAGTAGTGGAAAAATTTGTGGAAACCTTTTGGGAAAAGTGTATTTTCTAAAACTAGCCAATAACACCACCTTTTTTGGGAGTAGTATCATAAAATTATATATCAATGGAAAGGTAATTTAATCAAGAATGTAATGCGATAACTTTTATGAAGAATTTGTTATTAGAATAGCAGTTACAGTATAAAGAAGAAAAGTAGAAAAACGTAGAAAAAACGAGATATACAAAAATTATCACCATGTCTGTTAATACTTAGTTGGGTAACCTTTAGCATGAATTACGGCCTTACAACGTCTTCTCATGGAGTGAACCAAGTCTTTTAGTTCTGTTATAATGTGAAACCAAGATTGAATGATTGCTTCTGTTAACTGGGTTTTATTGCTGGGTTGCTTCTGACTAACAAGTTTCTTTAATCGGTTCCATAGATTTTCAATTGGGTTAAGGTCTGGGCTATTCCCAGCAGTGGAATAGGATTATCTTGAAACTCCAAAAAAAAAGTGGTGTTATTAGTCATCAAACCTCAAAAATACACTTTTCCCAAAAGGTTTCCACAATTTTGGCCACTACTGTAACTTGCCCTATATTTTTTAAATTGCACTGTAAGTATCATGGCTAATGTTGGTGGGTTTTATATCTTTCCTATCCTTAGATCTGAGGAAAAACTTCGACCAGGAGCCACTGGGGAAAGAGGTGCCTCTTGATCATGAGGTCCTTTTGCAGTGCCGACCTCCTGAAGGAGTGCCAACTGCTGAGGTAAGTTGAGTGCCAACAGTGAGGATAATCAATGGCGGTCACCTGGGAAAACATTCATGTGAACAAAACAGAGATTACAGGCAGCCCTCAAAATTTACAAACTGTCACTTAGTAATCGTTTGAATTTACAACCACCTCCCCCAAAACTGATTTATGATCCAGTTCGGAACTTCTGACATTGCCCCCTGCCATGGTCACATGAACACAATGGATGATGTTTTTGTCAAAAACCAGCATTTACTTCCAGTGAACAATGGATTTGCTTAATGACTACTGCAGAACGGGTCATAAAATGGGTCTGGTCTCATAGTGACCTGCTTTACAGCCATCATGACGTTTGACCATAATTGCCAGGCTCAATTAAGGTTGTAAGAAGAGGACTACTGTTATTTCATAATAACCCACATCTATTCATTCTTACAGTTGTAACATTCTGTTTACTAAATTGCATGCCCGTTCTGCCAAGAGTTTATCCCATTCTGGTTTATTTCTCAAAAGCTCAGGAAAACATCTCAACCTGTATTATAGTTGCAGTGCTACATGTTACTCCTTTGTTGTATCCCTATTGGTAGGTTAGGATCTTTCAGTACACATTGCAAATAAATCTGGTGGACTTTGGTACATGTCTTTGGTACCACTTTATAATGTTTTGGTAAGGCCACACTTGGAATGCTGCATTCAGTTTTGGTCACCACGATGTAAAAAAGATATGGAGACTCTAGAAAGAGTGCAGAGAAGAGCAACCAAGATGATTAGGGGACTGGAGGCTAAAACATATGAAGAACGGTTGCAGGAACTGGGTATGTCTAGTCTGATGAAAAGAAGGACTAGAGGTGACACGATCCAATATCTCAGGGGTTGCCTGAGGGAATCATGCTATTCTCCAAAGCAGCTGCGGGTAGGACAAGAAGCAATGGGTGGAAACTAAGCAAGGAGAGAAGCAACTTAGAACAAAGGAGAAATTTCCTGACAGTTAGAACAATTAATCAGTGGAACAACTTGCCTCCAGAAGTTGTGACTGCTCCAACACTGGAGGTTTTTAAGAAGATATTGGATAACCATTTGTCTGAAGTGGTTTAGGGTTTCCTGCCTAAGTATAGGGTTGGACTAGATGATCTCCAAAGTCCCTTCCAACTCTGTTATTCTGTATGTCAGAGTGTCACAATCAGGCTAAGGCACAGAAGAGTTGGAAGTCCTTTGTATACCCTCCATGATAAGGTAGCACCATCTATCCACGTGCAACCATTCCTATTGACCTCTGCATCTCATGAATCACAGCGGCAAGCACAAGAAGCACAAGACACAATTTGTGCGGAGGGCAGCACAGAGGACTCCCAGCAAAGATATACTGCAGATCCAAAAGAGGCATCAGATTCCAATGACCGAGATCTTGACTCAGTATTAAATTTCATTAGGTGTCTTTGAGCCAGACTTCCTTTTACAGCCAGCCGAGCCATAAAGGGATTTGTGAGAATTAAATAAGGGAGTGATCTGTTGCAGAAGGGCCTGGGATTTTCGAAGAAAGGGTAGAAATATTTCCTAATGCAGAGTTGCAAACATCCAGCTGAGCATCCCAAGAAAGAAGGAGAAGGATTCTGATGAAACTTTGAACTTTGATTTCATCAGCTTGTCACAACTACTAACTTTCTGAGCATGAATGGGCGTTATGTGAGTTGTAATCACATACAGGTAGTCCTCGACTTATGACCATAATTGAGTCCAAAATTTCTGTTGCTATTTGCTCAGTGAGTTTTGCCCCATTTGATGACCTTTCTTGCCACCGTTGTTAAGTGAATCACTGCAGTTGCTAATTTAGTAACACGGTTGTTAAGTGAAACTGGATTCCCCCATTGACTTTACTTGTCAGGGGGTCGCAAATATAATCGCATGACACCGGGACCCTGCAACCATCATAAATATAAACCGGTTACCAAGCACCTCATTTTGATCATGGGATCATGAGAATGTGGCGATGACCGTTAAGTGTGAAAAATGGTCATAAGTCACTTTTTTCAATGCCACTGTAATTTTGAACGGTCACTAAAGCAACTGTTGTAAGTTGAGGACTACCTGTACATTTGGAAGGTCTGTGTTGGGGAAGACTAGAGTAGTAGAGGGGCTTCTGGTTAAAAATAAAAGGGGGAGACATATCTGGAGTTGAGCCTAAATTGGGGGAAACCCTAGGATGTTTCCTGTGTTTGTTGGATGGCCATCTCCTTTTTAGATACCTTGTGCTTTTCATCACTGTTGATTCTGATTCTTCATCTCCTCTCATACTAGCTACCCTGTTTCCCTGAAAATAAGACCTCCCCAAATAATAAGTTCAATCAGGCTTTTGAGCGCATGCGATTTATTTATTTTATTTATTTATTGAATTTCTATACCTCCCTACTCCCGAAGGACTCAGGGCGGTGCACAGCCATGAAATAAAACACATAGATATACAAAATTTAAAATCGAATAAAATGAATTAAATAAATTTGGCTGAATTAATACCCAATTTAAAATACCCATATTTTAAAATCCATTAAAAATTTAGAATTTACACTTAAAAGGGAGAAGATTTAGGCGAGGCCAGCTTGATGAAACAAAAGCGTCTTCAACTCGCGGCGGAAGGTGCGCAGATCCGGAATCCTCCGTATCTCTGGGGGGAGCTCATTCCAGATCGTCAGTGCCCCCACAGAGAAGGCTCTCCCCCTAGGGGCCGAGAGCCGACATTGTTTGGCCGACGGCACCTGGAGGAGCCCCTCTCTGTGGGAGCGTACTAGTCGGTGGGAGGCTGTTGATGGTAGTAGGCGGTCCCGTAAGTAACCAGGTCCCAAGCCATGGAGCGCTTTAAAGGTGGTAACCAGAACCTTGAAGCGCACCCGGAAGACCACCGGGAGCCAGTGCAGCTCGCGCAGGAGAGGTGTTACATGGGAGCTCCATGTTGCTCCCATAACCACCTGCGCGGCCGCACTCTGCGCCAGTTGGAGCCTCCGGGTGCACCTCAAGGGGAGCCCCATGTAGAGAGCATTACAATAGTCCAGACGAGAGGTGACGAGGGCATGAGTGACTGTGCGTAACGAGTCCCGATCTAGAAAGGGACGCAACTGGCGAATCAGGCGAACCTGATGAAAAATCCTCCCGGTCACGGCCGTCAAGTGCTCTTCTAAAGACAGCCGTGAGTCCAGGAGGACGCCCAAGTTACGAGCCCTTTCCGTGGGGGCCAATGATTCGCCCCCAATAGCCAGCGATGGCGCCAGCTGACTATATCGGGACGTCGGAAACCACAGCCACTCGGTCTTGGATGGGTTGAGCCTGAGCCCGTTTCTCCCCATCCAGATCCGCACGGCCTCCAGGCACTGGGACATCACTTCAAGGGCATCGTTGGGGTGGTCTGGGGTGGAGATGTACAGCTGGGTGTCATCAGCATACAGATGGTACTTCACCCCGAAACCACGGATGATCTCGCCCAGCGGCTTTACATAAATGTTGAACAGAAGGGGCGAGAGAACCGATCCCTGCGGCACCCCACATATAAGGGGCCTCGGGGTCGATCTCTGCCCCCCTGTCAACACAGACTGCGACTGGTCAGAGAGAAAGGAGGAGAACCACCGTAAAACGGTGCCTCCCACCCCCAACCCTTCCAGCCGGTGCAGCATGATACCATGGTCGATGGTATCAAAAGCCGCTGAGAGGTCTAACAGGACCAGGACAGAGGAACAACCCCTGTCCCGAGCCCTCCAGAGATCATCAACCAACGCGACCAATGCCGTTTCCGTGCTGTACCCAGGCCTGAAGCCCGACTGGAACGGATCTAGATACGACGCTTCATCCAGGTACTGGGGTAGCTGTCGCGCAACCACACTCTCAACAACCTTCGCAACGAAGCAAAGGTTGGAGACTGGACGATAATTAGCCAATACTGCCGGGTCCAGGGAAGGCTTCTTGAGGAGAGGCCTCACCACCGCCTCTTTCAAGGCGGCGGGAAAGACACCCTCACCCAACGAAGCATTTATAATCCCCTGGAGCCAGCCTCGCGTCACCTCCCGGGAAGCCAGCACTAACCAGGAGGGACACGGGTCCAACAAACATGTGGTCGCGTTCAATCTACCCAGAATCCTGTCCACGTCATCTGGGGTCACAGGATCAAACTCATCCCAGATAACAGTCTCAAGACCTGTCTCCGTCACCCTCGCTGGATCTATCCCGTCAGAGTCCAGACCTGCCCGAATCTGAGTGATTTTGTCATACAGATATTGAACAAAATCCTCGGCTCTCCCCTCCAAGGGGTCCTCCCGCGCTTCCTGGTGGAGCAGGGAGCGGGTCACCCTAAACAGGGTGGCCGGGCGATTATCTGATGACGCAATAAGAGCAGTAAAATGAGTACATTTTGCTGCTTTTATCGCCACTAGGTAACTCCTAATATAAGATCTTACCAGTGTTCGGTCAGATTCAGAAAGACTAGCCCTCCAACAGCTCTCTAGGCGTCTTTTCCGGCGCTTCATCTCCCTCAGCTCCTCGGTGAACCAAGGAGCCAGGCGAGATCGGCGCCGGGTCAGAGGCCGCAAAGGCACGACTCGATCCAGGGCTCCAGCAGCCGCCCTATCCCAGGCGGCCACTAGGTCCCCAGATGAGGCGTGAGCCAGAACCTCCGGGATTGGCCCAAGCTCCATCTGGAACCTATCAGGTTCCATCAGGCGCCTGGGGCGGTACCATCTTACCGGTTCCGCCTCCCTGCGGTGGGGTGCTGCGGTTCGAAGGTCAAGGCGAAGGAGCGAGTGATCTGACCATGACAAGGGCTCGATGACTATCTCCCCTATCTCGAGATCACTCAACCACTGTCCAGAGACAAAAACCAAGTCCAGTGTGTTTCCCCCAGTGTGCGTAGGGCCATGAATTAGTTGGGTCAGGTCCATGGCCGTCATGGAAGCCATGAACTCCCGAGCCACCTCAGACGCCTCACCCACGGATGGCAGGTTGAAATCCCCCATGACCATAAGTCTGGGGGTATCAAC